GGTTTTTGTTTTTATTACTTGGGATTCAATTATTAAGAAAAACAAATAAATTACTAGTAATATTGGATAGAAGTAATAATTAATAGACGGTTAATAAAGAGAGATAGTGGTTATTGGAGAGAGAAAGTTATTGTCATTCAATAAACATAGTTGTCAATCGGTTACTTTTTTTTGAAAAGTGTATATTAGACGGCTAATAAAGAGAGATAGTGGTTATTGGAGAGAGAAAGTTATTGTCATTCAATAAACATAGTTGTCAATCGGTTATTTTTTTTAAAAAAAGGTGTATATGACATTAATTGGATTAATTTTGTAATTCTAGAGCAATGGTGTTATGGATTTTTCCCGTAATAGTATGTTAAACAGATTAATTTGGCCCACTCAACTTGTTACAACCCATGAACCTAATTGGGCTTTGATAAGGCCCAAACATTCCATACCTCCCATACATCTATTAATAATTATTAGTCTTCTTTCCCACCTCATTACAAACATTCAGCAAAACAAGAAACCTCACCCTATAAATAAAATACATATATATATATATATATATATAATATCAAACTTCAACCAAATTGATCAGGGTTGTTGAGGAAAACAAAAAAAATTCTTTTTTACCAATTTTGGAATCTCGTTTGCTCCGAGGTTCATTTTCTGTGCGTAAAAATTGAGGCTGTGCGCACTGCTTATGTTCATATGTGTGTTGTGATTCAATGTGTGTGAGTTTTTTCTTTTTCTTTTTGTTTTTGTGCATATAAGGCCGAGGTTCTTGGCCCAATGGACTCCCTATAAAAAGTACGACCCGATACGAAGCCCTTTCGTTACTCTCTCGAGTCTTGACCCTTCTAATCTTTCCCCGCTGCTCAGTCGTCTTCGAGCTGTGATTCGTTAACCACCTTATTATCAATCAACCCAGGTGTGATATATATGTTGAAGTGATTTCTTAGTTTTTTGGATCGTCTTTATTGGTAACTGATGTTGTTAATTGACAAATAGTTATGAATTTGCGGTGATACATAAATTGTTTGATTCATTTTTTTTTCCTTGTGACTCATGTTTTTTTACTGTGTATATAATGTTGCTCATTGGTTTGTTGTCTGATTCGTTAATGTCTCATGTTTTTTTTTCCTTGGAATTTGCGTTTTTCCTCTAATTGGCAAATTAGCCTCTAATGGCTTGCTGCCCTAGTCGAAATGTCCTTCTATCTCTCTCTCTCAATGGGAAATTCGTAGCTATATGAAATTTAGTAGATTGGAGATAAAGAGAAATACAATTTTCTCGATTTCCTGATTAAAAGGGGTAGCTATAAATGTACATTTCAGAGTTTCAGATGGGCAACTTAAAGTTGAAGCTGAGTTGCCCCTGTTCTTCATCCATCTAGACTTTTTCTGGTGGTTTTACCCTCTCAGTTGTTTTTGTTTAAGCCACCAGTAATCTTTAGGTGTGGATATAATTGTAAGTATTCACATTTGTATCTTTTTCTTAAATCGAGAATTGGGTTCTCCTGCTTTTGTTATTCGTAAGTCAACTAAAAAGTAAATGTTGATGGATCAAAATAACCATCAAGCAACTAAAAAATAAATGTATATCAACAAAATAAAAAAACTGAATACTTGATTAGAATAAACTACAAAGCAACTTATGTACAACATCACAAAAACCCATAAATATTGAAATTTTTTATATGAAAAATATATAAATATAATAATTGAAAAAAAAAGATGAAACACTTTGTAAACAAATTTTACACTCACACACAAAAAAAAAATGAAAAATAATCAGTTTGAGATAGTTCAAGTTATTCCCAATTTTTTTTTTTTTAAAAAAAGTGAATATCGAAAAGGAATGTTCTTCAATATAATTTTTAAGTGGAATTATGCATATTTTGAAAATGTTCATATTTCTTCTTTTAGTTTCCAACGTTGAATAACTCTTATCATTTATGTAATCATTTTATAAGTTATTTTGTTTATTCTTATCGTTTTTGCAGGCTAAACTTTCTTACTTTTTTTCGTTTCATAAATGTTTTTTTTGTTTTTTGTTTTTATTGCTTGGGATTCAATTATTAAGAAAAACAAATAAATTACAAGCAATATTGGATAGAAGTAACAATTATTAGACGGTTAATAAAGAGAGATAGTGGTTATTGGAGAGAAAAAGTCATTCAATAAACAGAGTTGTCAATCGATTACTTTTTTTTTTTTTTTGAAAAGTGTATATTAGACGGTTAATAAAAAGAGATAGTGGTTATTGGAGAGAGAAAGTTATTGTCATTCAATAAACATAGTTGTCAATCAGTTATTTTCTTTTTTGAAAAGTGTATATGACATTAATTGGATTAATTTCGTAGTTCTAGAGCAATGGTGTTATGGATTTTTCCCGTAATAGTATGTTAAACAGATTAATTTGGCCCACTCAACTTGTTACAACCCATGAACCTAACTGGGCTTTGATAAGGCCCAAACATTCCATACCTCTATTAATAATTATTAGTCTTCTTTCCCACCTTATTACAAACATTCA